CTAGATGCCACAAATCTCTTAGTTTGTAAGATTGAGTCTATCGTCAGAGTCTACACTTATCTCTTGAAATGTGTAGTATTCAGGGTATCAGACACGATTATGCAAATTATTAGACTAAATTAGACTAATGAGATCCAGAGATCCATTCGGTCTCATTTTCTAAAAGATTAAAACAATTCTTTCATAAACTAAACTATATATTTTATAGATTAAATTAAATTTTCAAATCAAAAAGTTGACCGACATGTTCACAGATTTGAGGTCTCGTGTATTAAGCGTTTGATAGATTTACGATTAAGTTCGCTAGATTTTCCCCCTACCCCCTCTTTTTTTAAACTGATAGTTATCTTCCTTTTATTTTAGTTTGTTCGTCACTATTTTTTTTCAGGGTTTTGATTATTTTTAAAAATATTTATTAGTAATTTATGTCATATTTTATGAATTGACTTTAATTTTTTTAGTTTTATTTTTTAATTTATAGTTTAAGTTATACCTTGGTTCGATGAAGAAAAATACCTCAGTTCTCAAGTTTGCCTTTTCAAACCTTGATACATTGTGACAACAAAAAAGAAAAGAGGGGAAGGATTTAGAATCCATCTAGAGAGAGAGGGCAAATTGAGAACATGTGAGAAAGATAAAATTTCAATTGAATCAACTAGTTCAAAGTAAAAGCCATGGATCCCTATTTATAGAAGTAAGGTTACGAGGATAAATTCATTTCCTTTTTGAAATTAAATATAATCCTAACTATTTTTTATATTCAAGCCTAATTATATCCAGTAAGATAATTAATTCTTTTAAAACTATTTTAAAAGGCCCAATTTAATTGAAATAACTGAAATCAAATCAAATTTCCCGTGCTACATTGCTTTATAACTTGTGCTCAAGGTCCAAATTTAATTAAACTAATTCAGCTTTTCAATTAATTAGAATAATATTTCTTAAGGTTTTATACAGAGATATGCAATCAAAACACAACTAATGCTAGTTTGTCCTTGATTCCCTTTGTTTATGTTTTCTTTAAAAGAAAAATAAACCTTTGTTGACTATAATAAAAAAAAGAAAAATAAATAAATAAATAAGTTCATTAAATTAATTAATTTTAGAATCTTACCTAATCCCGCCACTTGAAGCCCGCATTACGACTAATAACCGACAACCCCCCTTGTTCTGAAAGAAAATAAGATCGCACTCAAAGAAATTGCCCTACCTCATTCGCTCTTCTCGAACCTCCACTTCTTTCTTTGTAGTTTGAAACCCTCATCTCCGCTCCCTCATCAAGACCGAAGCCTTCTTCCCTCATCATTTCTCCCTTTTGGTCACAACAACCACAGAGAGTTCATTTGCCTTTTATACAAATCTTGGATTCCCATTTCTCGCTCCTGTTCTCTACAACTGCACGCACGAAGCCACCCCACTCACTATTCATCGCGCCTTCGAAGCCTTCCCTCTTTGTTTGCACGACACAAAGACATCTGAAACTTCTGCTCATCCTTCTTTTTTCCTGTTCATACTAGACGCTTTCTCCGGTTCTCTTGCAATGCCGACCGAAGCTGTAATCGTTCTGCCTCCTCTCTATCGCCTTGCCCTAGCCTCGTGTCTCCATGTTTTCTTCAACCTTGCTATCAATCCCTCTTTGCCACGCCTACCTCCATGTATCCAAAAGCCCCTTGATCCCTCTCTACCGTGCCTCCCTCTGTGATCAATCCTCTCTATCGCGCCTCACTCAGCGATCATTTTTTTTTCCTAGCCGCACCACTCGATCTCTAGCCTGAAGCTTGAAGCCTTTGCCTCCTTCCTCACACGCGATCCGAACCCACTTTAAAACCTTAGACTGAGTTGCCCCTCCTATAAACCAAGCACTCTACCCGAGCTCTATTCTACTGTTCTTTTTTGTTCTAGTTGCATTGTATTGTAAAAAAAAGTCCGTGCTTTATTTCATTTCATTGTTCATTGCCATCTTCGCAGATCATTGTTGTGAATACCACCAGAGCTTGAAAAGGTATAATGAAATGGGTCGATAGGACAAATTTTTAAAATTTCCACTCGAGGAAGCATGAGTACCCAACCTTGGGAATTAAGTACCGTTTGAGGAAAATCATGGACGCATTTGAAAATTTTTTATAAATTCATGGGTTTTAATATAACCGTCCTTGGGAAACACAAAACCCTTCCTTGGAAACACGAGCACTCATCCTTGTTAATTAGGTACTATTCGGGGAAAGTAAAGCACTGCTGGGAAAATGTTGGGTTGTGGTTTAATACTTTTTGTAAGTATGTTGAAGGTCCGTTGCATCGTTTAAGACCGTAAGTTAAATATGTATTTTTGCTCCCCAACCGTAGTGTCTCAGAACGCTGACCAACGAGTTTTTTAAGACTGTTGAGAAAATTGACATTTTCCTAGTGCCCCGTTAGAGGGTGCCCTCTAACGGGGGTTGATGTTGGGAGGTTGCCAAATTTTCGTGTGATTAGGACTTGTAAACCACTTTTACCTTAAATTTGGAAACTTATAAAGAAAAAGAAATATAATAATAAAATATGAATCTTTTAAATTTTAAAATATTTTGAAAATTTGAGTTTTTAAAATATAGGCTCTTAGGGGTCAAAATATCTGTGATATGGGCTTTTTAACATTTAGGCTATTAAGTTTTTAAAAATATTTAAAGTTTTGGACTTCTGAAACATAGACTCCCAGGCTTAAAAATACTTAAGAATTTGAGTTTTAAAATTTAGGCTATAAGGTCTTAAAAATATTTGAAATTTTGAGCTTTTGAATTTAGGCTCCTAAGGTTCAAAATAATTCTGGTCTAAGAATTTTTGAAACTTTAAAAGCTTGCCACTGGATTTGCAATATAATTTATTAGGGAACAGAAGACGGTCCTTAAAGAGCTAAAAAATGAGGTTTTACATGTATTCCAAAAGCTCTAATGTTTACATAAAATTTCATAAAATCTTTGTTAATTTCAGAACAAGTCTTGTGATTACTTTTTGATTTGAATGTAGATACTTTAAGATTTGTGCAAAATTATATACATATATATTTTAAAAATTCCCGCTATCAATTGTACATTTGGACTATGCACATACTTCTATACCATAAATATATTTGTGTAACTAACAAGTTAGGATTATTTTTGAGACACATAATATCATTTTAAGTTATCTTTCAAATTCAATGTGTTATATCAAAAGGCTTCTAATTACTTGATAATTCTTGTATTTGTGTCAAAAATATCAAATTATATGTTACAAAAATAATTTAATCACATCTTATAAGTGTGTCAAAATCATGCAATCACATTAAGCAAAGACACCAAGATATAACAAAATACACCCGCATATGCTCCATTGAAATGAACTAAGTATATTAAATTGAAAAGTCTGAGAATGCTGTCTGTGTTAAAATATTATTTTGTCTCAAATCGCTATTGCTTTTGAAAAGTGCACAAAATTTCTTTTCAAAGAGTCTATGCCTATTTTAAAATTATAAAATCTCTATGGTGAAATCACACTCGAGATAATTAAGTTATGTAAGCTTTAATTGGGCAGCCCTGTCTAGAGGGTAGGGTTGTATGTCCAACACAACTAGTCCGATCCGCTTCTTCACAAGTACTGGAATTGACGAGTCTACTAAATTTAATAATAAATGTTCAAATCATAAATATAAAAATTTACAAGTCTAAATCATATTGTACGATCAATCTCTTTATAAGAACAGGAGTCAACATGACTTGTTTCCTAAAAGGCCTAAACTAACAAAATCAAATGCCCTGCAAATATAAAAGTTTTAAATATTTAAGTCCCCGATTAGGATTGTGCTGACTGAAAATCTCAACGGAGGGTTAATTTTAAACCAACATTTAGTATAAGCTTCAAACTAGTATTTCAAGTAAAATTAAACACTTAAAAGTTAAAACAAAAATTCATCCACCTCCTGCAATAGTTTGTCGAGAGTGACAAACTTTTGATTGACTTAAGCTCACAAAGAGTAAATGTCGTATCAATTGTATTATGTTATTCACAATCAAAGCAATTACATGCCAGTAAGGACGTGGCTTGAGTCATCTGTCCGCATGGTTATGTCGTCAAATGATACCACAAAGTAATGGCTATGACCAGAGTCCTTTGACCGGGTGGTGCTGCCAAATGACACTATTATATTACAATCACGACCACCACTAGTATGTTCCTCAATAACTTTCTACCCTTTGAGTTGTGAACCATAAGGGTGCAATTGATTAGCGTAAAACCTTATGTTGGCTAAAATCAACTTAAATTTATCCCCTTAGATAAACATCCACCACTTTAGCCAATAAGTGGGATAAAGACTTGTTGTTGTTGTAGACAAACATCCATCCCTGTTCTACAAGGATCTCTTGGGTGATGCATTTCATGGTTGCTGACAATAATCATTCAATAAGGTTGTGTCGACTACCATTTCTGACTAAGTAGATCGGGGACAACGATGACCCGGGACGACGAAACCATTAGATCTTGATAGGATTTCATCGTTGTTTCCCCACTATCCGCTTTAAGCTTCAGGTGATAAATTTTACAATTTAAAATATATGCCTGCAACTATTATCTATCGAATATTCAGTTCTTAATGACTAGCCTTAATTGATTGTGATCATCTGTATTGGGGAGGGATAATTAACTATAGGGGTCTGCGCCTATGAGAAATCTCAAATCCCAGATCAAGAAATCCTCGCAAAATGATGGCAAAATCTCTAGGTAGTGTCTTATCTAACAACCTAAACTGTCTTCTGAAAATTTAACCCTTCAATGCTCTCTCAACAAACAAAAATAGAATAAATGCAGAGATTCCTGGGGCGCGGTCGGAATTTTCGGAGCCCACAACCTTGGTTCTCTTCTGCATTCATAACTTTTACTATTTGAGAATCTTTAAGGAGAGCATAAAACTTGATAAGGCTTTCTTATTCCAGCTTTTAAAAATTATTTTTATGTTGTTGTGTGAAATCAATTTTCTGTTTTTTTAGATGCCTTTGACACAGATCAACTCATTGACTGTATGACCAAGTTGAAAAGTGGACACTCCGTCAACATTCCCATCTATGATTTTAAGAATCATCGCCGATGCTGTGAAAGTTTCCGGAAGGTATGCTTCAACTGAACTCAAATTTCTGGATTACCTTCTAATGATTGGATTCTTAGTGGGAAATTTACATACGGAGCCCACAATTCTTATGTATTTGCATATCTCACACCTAAATTTTCATATTTACATGTATAGCACTTTGGTGCTTTAAACCTAACTTTCCTTTCATTAGCATTTATTGTTTGACCAAACTTTCCTTTCATTAGCATTTATTGTTTGACCAATAGTGAGTGCCTGCCTGCATCTGTTATTCTTTTATCTTTTGATTATGGTGGTTACATTTGCTTAACAAAGTTAATTTTGCTAGGTGAATGCATCGGATGTTATTATTTTGGAAGGGATTCTAGTTTTCCATGATCCACGAGTTCGCAACCTAATGGACATGAAGATATTTGTTGATACTGGTTGGTTTTTGTTTTCTATATTGCATTCTTTTCCCATCAGAGTATTTTTATATTTCAGAATGAGCTTCTCTTCCACTTATTTAACCTTTTTGCTTTCATTATGTCCCATTTTACTATCTTGAGAATTTTTAGGACTCACCCGAATTGATCGGGCTTAGGCTTTATTTGGTTAGGTTTCTCTTTTTAAACAAACCTATCAAAATACAGTTTTTTTAAAATCCGCATTTTAAAGTTTGATAGAAGTTTACAGCTGAAATTGGCAAAAAAAAAAGGAGTTTCTTTTAGAAGTGTTTCTAAAAAAACACAATAATCAAACAACTCATAAAATGAAGGAATTATTCTGAAGCTGAAAGTAGCAGAAAAGTTTCTTCAAACGAGACTTTCATCTCAATTACTATGCCCGAGCATGAATTTCGTTACTTGGTTGTTCTTAGTTACCGTTATTTACTGAGACCATTATGAATACTATCACGAGGAAGCTAAATAATCTTCTGTTTTAAAATTTTCTTATATATCAAGATGAAATATATTACATTTATCCATCATCGCCCTCATTCTAATATTGCACTGATAGATGCTGATGTTAGGCTTGCTAGAAGAATTAGAAGAGATACAGTTGAGAGAGGTCGGGATATTAACTCGGTGCTTGAACAGGTATGCACGTTCTTTTTACTAGTGGATATAGAATATTGTAATTTTTTCATTGCTTGAGCATACTTGCCCGTAGCCTATTTGGAGGTCTGATGTAATAAGCTGTGTAAATGTTTCATTATTTAAAATTTCAACAACATCAATATTAATGCATAGATGTAGACTTGCTTCTATTTCATATAAAGAGGCTTAAACTAGCCTTGATTGTTAAAATTTCTCATTTATGAGGTGAAGTGCTCATTTTTCTTTCAAATGACCCCAAAAATTATTAATTCAATCTTGATTAGGTAATGCACAAATTATGCATTACAATTTTCACAGTTAAAAGGTAAAGTGCTCATTTTTTTTAAAATGTCCCCAAAGATTATTAATGCAATCCTGCGTAACAACAAACCTTGGTGAATATAATTATTTGTCAAAATATTTTTTTTATCGAAGTACTTCTAAAAGATAATTATTTATTAATAACTATAAAGATATTAAAAGTTCAACGATTTGTCATAATTAGCAATGTGATAAAAATGTTAACATGATATAATGAAATAATTAAATACACTATTTGACATCGGAGTTTAACCCAAACAATAATAAACAAATAAATATTTTTACTAGAATACCAATAGGCGGTTACAACCAACACACTAAAAGGGAAAATAACAACAGACATGACACAAACTCACATTAGGGTTTGATCCAGGAGCTTGGTGGTCGGCTATAGGGCTTGGGAGGGTGGCAAGTGGCAGGAATGATGGTATGGGTGCTGGGATGAAATATAACAATGAATGGAGCAGTTTTCTGGGAGTGGCAATGAGTGGGGGGAAGCTGGACGGTAGGAAAACAACTGGTATGTTGTTTTCTAGATGACAACAATGAGGAACAACGATTGAGGGTGATGCAAGAATGTTGGATGAAGAGTGGGGGTTGCAGGAAATCGCACAAGGGGTGGCTGACGACTAGTTCTGCAGGAGGACAACAAAGGGACGCTGTTTATGCTACCGCGGCTATGAGGGAAGGGGTGAAGGCGGCTGGGCAGCAGGAACTCTAGAAAACAACAAAAGGAGGCTGTTACAGGTTGCTGTCGTGGGGAAGGGGCAGTCCAGAGTGATGAGGCAGATGCGGCGCAAGGAAAGTCAGAGATAAATATTCCCTTAGGAGCGAGATACAACCGGAGCACCAGTCCCCCTTGGATACAGCCGGAGCACCAGTCGCCCTTGACTACAATCAGAGCACCACTCACCCTTAGATATAGCATTATACAGGAAAATAGAGGGCGTTGATGACTGTTTTGACAGAAACATAATCCAAAAATGCCTTAATAATATGATAACATTTTTATAGAATCAGGAAATATGAATGGACCCCTCTCCAAATAGGAGGTAAATTCACGTAAAGGAAGTGTTGACTGCTCAATTCGGAGGTTAAACTCTGCCTTTAAGGTATGCCAATCATTTGATTATGTTGTCTCTCCACTTTTTAAGCTATGGCCTACATATCCTATCCATAATAAACTGGTAGGTACTGACACCGCATCTTTCGTCATCCTGGATCAGGTAGTGATCTTGTCTTTTTTTTTTCACACGTAGATGCTTCAAATTTTCCCACTTGGTACTTAAAGAAAAGTTTCACTGTTTGGAGCCACTTAACTTGTCCAGATCACAATGATTGTCAAAACATGATAAATCCACATTTACTTCAACAGCCCAACTTCTTAGACATTCAAGTTAAATCTTCAAAGTAGAAGCTCTTCATCCCTGAAATCCACACAGTGGAAGGGATTCATTCTATTCCTTTCGTTTAGCAAATCACTGTTGTGACTAATAATGAACCGTTCAAATTCTCTCCTTGAAATTCTCTCCTTGAAGTGGCAAGCCTCTGTTATAGTTGGAGGACTTTCATAGCAAGTCTATGGACCTCTCTTTATACATTTATCTTAGACGATATTATGCCAAATCCTCCTAATCTGGTCTCCGACAATTGTCTCTTTGGTGGCGTGGTTGGGATTTAGGTTTGGGTAGGTGGAAGAGGGTGTATAGTGATGATTTATGAGGGGAAGAAAATTTTTGAGTGGCTGGTTTGAAAAATCAACGAAGGTATTGCTGTATGGAAGTGGGGATTGGGTATTAGTGGATGCTAGAAACTCAAGGATAAGACTAGGTTTAGGCTAGCTCTGATACCAAATGATATCGGAGTTAACTCAAATAACAAAAAAGAACAATTATTATTATTGAGTGGCCAATAGACAGTTACAACTAATACACTAAAAGGGAAAATAACAATGGATTCGACACAAATTCCCACTAGGTTTTGATCCAATGGTGATGGTGCTCAGCTATGAGGTTTGGAAAGGGTGGCAAGTGGTGGGAATGATGGTATGGGCACTGGGATGAAGTATAATAACAGTTGGTGCGGTTTTCTGGGAGTTACAACAAGTAGGGTGGCAGTTGGACAACATAAAAACATTTTTGCTATTTTCCAGATGGCAGCAGCTTGGAACAACGATTGTGAGCGATGCGGGAAGATAGGGGAAGGATATAGGCTACATGAAACGACATGGGGTGGCTGGTATTTGGTCTTGCTGGAGGACAACAAAGGAACAATAATAAGACACTGTTCTATGTGACTGCAGTAAAGGAAGAGGGGGAAGGTGGCTGGATAAAAGGAATTACATAAACAACAAAAGGAGGTTGTCTGGGCGGCTGTAGCAGGGAAGGGGCGGCCAAGTGGTGGGGTTGATGTGGGGCAAGGAAATTTGGAGATAAATACCCCCTCGAGAGCGAGATATAGCCAGAGCCCCACTCCACCCTTGGAGGAGGATCATCACATCGAAACGAGATACAACTAGAGTACCTGTTGACCTCACTTTTGGCGGAGGTCTAGTCTCTCCTTTTTGATAGCCTAGGTTATAGACGTAGGACTTTCTTGTCGACTATTCCTAGAAAACTAACAAAGGAGCCCTCACCGTTAGAAATTCTGAGGTTTCAATTGCTCGACTTGACGTTCTGCATGGTAGTTTTTGATTTCTAGCACTTAGTAGGTGAGGCTACTCTGTAAGGGAGCTCAAGGAGAATCTCTATAGGACTGTTGGCCTTAGAATTGACTGTACGCGTTGATCTGGCGCCGTTGCACTCTGCACCGTTCTGTTTAATTGAGCTCACACAGAAATTTTGATAGGATTCGGGCCGCGACGCGTTTTCGTCCCGATCGTCGACGAGGTTGCCTAAACGACTTCAGTTGACGAAATAAGCTGCGCCGACGCGTCTGGAACGTCGACTTTGCCTAGGGGAGACGTTCGTTTCTCTACGACGATGTGTTTGGGGAAAAATACACAATTAAATATTAATTATAATAATAAATGATATATTATTGTTATTATTATTATTATTATTATTATAATTAATAACTTATAGTCCCTTAAAGATTTCCGATGCGTCCAGAACGTCGATTTTGCCTAGGGGAGACGTTCGTTTCACTACGACGACGTGTTTGGGGAAAGATACACAATTAAATATTAATTATAATAATAAATGATATATTATTATTATTATTATAATTAATAACTTATAATCCCTTAAACCTAAATCTATCTCCTCCCCCCTTTTTTTTTCTATTTCTCGATCTTGTGGGCCTCAGCCTTAATTCAGCTCGTTCGGTTGCCTGGCCCGCTCCTTCCTGTGCTGTTGGAGTCTCGTTCCCGCGCTCGCCTAGCGCACGCGAGACGATCCCGCAGACGACCCATCCCCTTATCATTGTCGCGGATCTTATCCCCTGCGAGGATCTCATCCTCTGCCTCTCTCGCGCCGCCCCGGGGCGTATGCTCTCCTCATTTCCTCGAGCCGTTTACGATCTTTCAATCACTCCTTCTCCTTCTTCCGTCTATATTAGGCTCTACTTGGAGCATTTCAGTGGGCCGAAAAATCTCTTAGAGGGAGGGAAAACTCTGTTATTTTCTTTTCTCACTTGCTTCTTTAGTTTTTTTGTACTTGGGTTGGCTTCCTCTTACTGTTGGAGGAAGGATTGAAGTTGAGGAGTGCTTTTAAAAATTTATGTGTTGCTTTTTGCTGCAAGGAGGTTCCTTCTCTCCCCCCTGTGCCTTGCTTCTTTTCGGTTTTCCCTCTGCCGAGCCTTTGAGCTTGGTGCTGTGGATGATATAGCATGCTAGGGTGATATTGCACCTATATTTTTGAAATATTTGTTACTCAAGCATCTAGAAATGGAAATGTTTGCATGTTCTAGGAGTTATACTTGTTTACTTGCTTAAAGTGGTGAAGCTATGACATGTTTCTATTTATTGTAGCATATTTCTATTGGAAGCAATTAGAAGGGTTGAAACATGGCTTTGAGACAATGTTAGCTCCTCTTGCAAGCATGTTAGGATATGTATCATGAAGCTTTTCATTTATTCTTATCTAGCATGAGACATTGGAAGGTTTATTTGGTCTTTCACGCATGTGGAAGGCTCGGTTTTGACATCTTAATTTCCTTTTTGGCTTAAAAATGCATGCTATGAAGAGATTCATCTTGATTTGGGAAAGTTCTACAACTGTTCTTGTTCGAAACACGTGGTGGCCCTATGTTTTGATGTTTTGAAGGCATGAGGATGTTTTCTAGCTTTTGTTGTGACCGGGTTCTGAGCTTTAGCTGCGGCTCGATTTGGCTCCTTGTAGCTTTTCCTTGAAATACATGTTGTGAGAAAATCTATTTCACTTGGAAGTGTCTTATATCCTGCTTTGATAGTTTGGTTTGGCTCCTCGAAGGGGAAGGGAACATCTATCATGCTTAGAACAATTATATTGGTAGCTCAAAATATTTTTCATGCTACTGTTATAGTTTAAAACATATTTTGGCTCCATATTTTGATGTTTCAAGGGCATATGGGTATTCTTTAACCCTTGGATGGCATGGGTTTTGAACCTTTACTATGGTTGGGTTTGGACCTCTATTGGTGCTCGGTTTCATTATGAGGTGGCTGGGTGTGGATTTGTTATTATGGTTTCATTTGTTGG